CCGACGCGTGTGTGTCCCTCCTCCAAGATCCTCGTCAAGCTACGAAGGTCGAGCTCTGCTGTTTCTTGAAAATATGCGTACAGTTGTAGGGAAGACTACTGCTGTACCCCGTTCAAGAGAATAGTAGTACCACACCAGTCGAAGGGGTGTGCTCAAGTCCTTGCTTGTTTTTGCTTTTTTTGAACAAGACATGTCTTTGATCGTCATCTTGAACGTGGTTTTACCGATTTCACACGTTCCACGGCGGTCTCGCCTTCCGACCCACGGAGGTGTGTTCCAAACGGCGCACGCTTTCGCTCCCCCTTGTGCCTTTGCGTTGTTTACGGAATGGATACTCCTCCTCTGGCATTGCGTTGTTTCCGGATGCTCCTCCTGTGACAATGTGTTGCTCATCGATGCTCCTCCTGTACCCATGTGTAATGTGTTGTCCTGCGTCCAGCATCCGCCTTCTTCAGTTCCGGCCGCCTACCGCGACCACCTGGGACCGTGGGCTTCGGCGGCGACTGGAACTCCGGGAGAGCAGGGTCAGAGGGCGGGGCAGGACAGCGACGAGGCCCCGTTGTTGCTGCAGAAGGCTCGGTAAGCCGTCTGGTTCGGGTGGGGCGTTGTACGGAGTACAGGTCCGGAGAAGAGAAAGGTCAAAACATCGGGTCGAGGCTCAGTTTCTAGTTTCATCGCTGCAGTATATGGAATTTTTGTGTAGGATCCACCGCTGAGCTGTGTTTCTAAGCCATATTTTCTTGTTCTTTGGTGAATGCCGTGTTTTCTTATTTTTCGTCAATGTGCTCCCCAAACCTGAAAAATACCGTCAAGTTGCGAGTCAGGGCACGGGGGTGCGATCGATTTTCAAAGCGCAATTTCTCCCAACCAGGAGGGTGCGAGCGCCAACTGACGCTTCTCCGGAAAGCTCTCGATAAGATATTTCCAAAACCACCCTGTTCGGCAGTGGCAACCTCCGGGTTGTGGACAAATGGCCCTTTGAATATCGATCGCACCCCTTCGCACGGACTCGCAACATCCCATGTAGAGTTACCATCGACAGCAGTGGAACCGAAAACAAATAACTTCCTTCAATCATCAACCACGTACTCCCCCAAACCTGAGAAATAATTTTAAAGCGCGCTCGTTGAAAGCTTGTGTAATAAGGTCGGAGAGGAACAAAATAACCAAACGGAATTACGGGTGATCATCCTGCGGCCACTGACATGCGTTCCGTGTCTTCACGCTAGAGTCGTGTGTGTACATATGGATCCCAATACGCATATTTATTTGATCCTCTGTTTCTGAACAAAATATTTCGTAGCTGCGGGCCCGTGCTGTAGACTAGTCACAAGAGTATGATCGCTTTTGTTGCGCAGGTCCTTGTGGTAGCGGTAGCGGTAGCGACGAATCATACAAGGGTAGCCCTCGAACGCCTGCTATCGCATGGAGTTTCCCTTAGGTTTTTCACGTCTTCGTACCTTGTGTGTCCTCGTGTCTCCTTCCTCGCCCTCTCTCTGATTCATACTGTAACCTCTTCCAACCATCAAACAAGTTGGCCCTGGGGAAAAACCACATGCCTTGAGTTGCGAGTGAAAAACACCTCGGCAGCACGACCTAACCCCACCCCCCCACCTTACTTTCGTTTTAGTTTTTCATGCTCAGCTCTGTTCCCCTTGTGCGCACACGCTTCTCAGGCTTCGGGTGAAAGCCCTGGGTGACACGATGGCCGAACGCGAGGAGGCTGTGGTGAGATGCCTGCCAAAGCTCGGTCCCAATGGAGAGAGGCAGCGCCTGCCGCGCGTCGACCTGACGCGCCTGCTGCAGAAGCTGCGGGTGGGAGTGAGGTAACAAACCCACAATTCCTTTTTTGCCCTCGGAGGCAGGCCCTTACCCTTACACTTAGGCGGCGTGGGTGGTTTTTTTTTTCGTAGCAGGTTGTCTGCATTGTGTACGGGGCTATTCGTGATATTCCCTTTTAATTATTTCTCGGTTACTCTAGATGGAGATGGACAAGTCTGAGGCAAAAAACAGAATCATATTTGTTCGGTGCTCCGAGCAATCCATTGGATCGCTCTTGGGCTATTGCAATGACCAATACACACACTGGGCTTGAAATTACCCTATTGCTGTCCTCCGCTCTTTGCATCAAAGGCTTCCTAGCTGTGATGAGTGTCTCTGTGAAAGAATATGTAGAGAGAGTCATCTTGACATTCGCATTTAGGGCCTTGCGCATTTTTCGAGTTTTGCCCCCCTTCCAGGGACCTTGATTTTACCCGCTGACGCTGACGTCTTTCCATTAGTCAGCCGGTTAGCGCGGTCGATTCTAATAATAAAATATGTACACACACCTCTACACACATACACACAGGTCTGGCGAGCTACAGAACCTCTGGTACCACATGGACAGGAACAAGATCACGCGGCAGGGGTTCCGCCACCTCCTCCTGGAGTCGACCGACAGCCTCCCCGTCACCTTCCCGGCCTCCCCCTGCCCCTACCCAGCGGCCTGGCCAATCGGCGGGCCCCCCTCCTCCTCCGACGCGCCTTCTCACGCCCCCGGGGATAGAACTCCCGAGGGAGGCGTTTCCGTGTCGGGGGCTAAGCTCCAACGGGTGTTGAACCGCGCCGCGTACGAGGCTAACGTTCGCCACGGCGTCGCCGGGAGCGCAATGACTCGTGCTCTGCGGGAGGTGGAAGAAGGCAAGTGTGTCGGGGTTGGCGGCAAGAGTGCTTTGTTTCGCCGCCCAGCATTGGTTCTACTTCCTGTAGATAGCGTTGGAGCATTTCTTTCTTTTTGTGTCAGTTCACTGCTGTCAGTAGCTATTTTGTGTCCTCTGGATTACTCGAAAGCTGCGGGGGGGATTTGCCACCTCTCATTCTTTGTTCCTACGTGTAGTCCGCACGTTGTAAGACCGATTTGTGGCCCTCTCCTTCATCCCATGTTGACCAGCCTTTCGTTGTGTGTTGTCCTTCCCCGACGTGGATCCATGATGAATTCAACGCTACAACTAGCATGGTATTTCCCCCCGCAGCGTCCACCCCAAGTAAACCAGCCTTCGGCAATTCTTTACTCCTCTTCGCGGGATCCTGCTGACTCAATAAACGTCGCAGACGAAAGGGGCGGAGATGATGGCTCCGCCGCCGGTGGTGGGGCATCTTCGTCACCTGCTCTTCCTGCCGACAAAGGCAGTGCTGGTGCTGATGATGATGCCGAGGACGACGGCGGCATGCCCGTGCTCCTCCAACGGGCCGTGAGGAGGGTCAAGGAGTTGGACAACGGCGAGGCAAGGGCTTTGAAAATCGATCCAACGGGTGTGGCACCTTATGCAAGCTCCCGGCAGTAACAACATTGTTCGTTTTTCGAAATGTTTTTTTTTTTTTTTTCCGGTTGCTCTTCCGACACTGCACCTCTCAACGACAGTCCTGTTGGTCGAGGTTACGTTGGTAGAGCTGACGTCTGTCACGCCAACCGCGAAGGAAAAGGTGCCCTGTTGCGACTCGCCAGGCAGGCGGAATCGATCATCTCCCCTGCGCTGCCATCCCTCCCCTGCTCAGACACCAAACGCCCTCCTTTCGTGCCCCCCGGTCTTTTCTGCACCGAGTTGTTTCTTCCCCACACACATGCCCTTCTCCACTCGTGGCACACCGAGAAACACATATCCGCCGATAATCACATGAGCAGTAATGCATGCCGCCAGCAGTGCATGTACGTCAAGAAAACTACTACCGCTGCTTGGATGGTGGTTGTTTTACAACTTTTCCTCTACTGCCGCTGCTGCTGCGGCTAAGATTTGAAACAGCTGTTACTCTACGGCTTTCTGTGCTGCGGGTACTTGCGCTCAGCTTGTGAGGGTCTCCTACTGTTGTCCTACAACCGAATTTGCCGATTCGTCCACATATTACCTCTGCAGAGAGAAGTGGGGTAGCTCTTCGCAGAACTAAATTTCCCATGGTACACAGCAATCCAAATAGTTACCGAGCGCTGCGTGTCGACTCATAGTACCCCGTGAATCAGAGCGGGACTTGAGGTGTGTCCATTCCATGGCGTGGACCCCCCTGTTCGCGTGCACGTGCGGGAATAAGTGGTCCTCGACGCTTGCTCTCGTTTTTCCTTGACTGCAGAGTGCTTGTTGCTTGCTTATCCCCCCCCTCGGCAAAGGAGGTATTGGCCGCTCTCGATGCTTGTATTTTTTCCGTTCGCCCTGAATACTTGTCACCTCCTTGTACCCCCCCTCCCCCCACTTGGCACAGGAAGTAGTTGCCGCTCTCGTACCCGACATGGGCCGCGTTAGGGAGGGCATGCGCATCACCAGGGGCGGCATCCAGCGCGTCCTTCACGGCCTTGGTGAGGAGTGGGTGCAGGGCGAGAAAGGGTCCGAGAACAGTGCTGTTCGGGGTCGTCAAGCTGCATTTCTTTGCCCCCTGACAAGCTTTTGTTGCTCTAATCACCGCTTCCGTAAGGATTATGCACGTGTCTGTCTCCCTTTAGGGCTCCGTATTAGTTTCGGAAAGCGGCGGCGTGGTTGCTATCGTACCTGCAGTTTCATGTAGCGGTAGCCTTCGGATGACCCTGGCATGCGGATTCCTGTTGTTGGTGTTATTTTTTATCAAGGTTGATGTGAAAATTTACCCCTTGTCTCGCTGGTTTTTTTTTCGGCGAGAAGGTCGAGCGTGATGGTTTATCCCGCGCTGTGTTTGACTTGCTATTGTGTCCCGCGAAAGACCTTTACTGACTATTGTGCTACTGCTGTCCTTTCTCGTAATGCCGGATACCCCCTCCCCCCCGTTCTCTTGGCCCCCCACTGCGCATGGTCGATGTTGGAAAAATCTTTCTCCCGCCCCCCCCCCCTCTCTTAAGTGGGTTGGCGCTGTTGGCAAAGCGCTGTAAAACACGCCACCCCAAATATAGCCCCCATAGTATGCGCTACCAAAGACGCGTGACGCATGGATGCGTGGAGTGAGGATTGCTTACGGAAACCTCACAGGTTGAGTGATGTAGGAGATTGCCGGACACATAGACGTGTTGAGTGATTATAGCTGTATACTGAAACCCCACGGAAAGGGGAGGTTTGAGATTGCCAGACACATAGACGGGTTGCGTGGGGATAGCTGCTGGAACCCCACGGGTTGAGTGATGTTGGAGTGCCGGACACATAGACGCGTTGAATGAGGATAGACACATATTGAACCTCACAGGTTGTTTGTATTGGAGATTGCGAGACACCTAGACGTGTTG